TTTGCTACCACAATAGATTTATATAGAACAAATGACTCAAGAATGAAGTTAAGATCCTAACAAGTGCTAGTAGATTCTTTCTAAACCCCATCACATCTAAGGTCTATTCTTCTTATTCTCCAAATGGTGACAAATGAAAATTTCGTGGCATGTTAATTTTCTTGATAAAATTATTTCTTGATCAATTGGATCGAAGATAGTTTAAATCTTGGAAGTTTTAGAGTAGTTTCCTTGAAGGATTAGGTTGACCTTTATTCAGTAAGTCCACATATGAATCCACCTAGTAGTACAACTTTTGAGATCCAATTTAGCCTATGAAAATTTGTCAATGCCTCTTGATACTTAAGAAAATTTGCCATGACTAGTTTGTACGTAAATAAGACCGAAAAGGCAGATAAAGAAAGAAAATAATGCGTTATTACTCCTTGTTAATATGTCATTATTTGAATGAGCATACAAAAGTAAGTGAGCTAATGTATTAAATACTAATCTTTTTGTATTACCAAACAATCTTTATACGTCAATGCTCATGTGTTACAAATATGAACCTAATAGTATTTTTCAATATTAACCAAAAAAGCATCATCAATTGGTTTTCTCAAAATTGATCAGTATTGTTTGTTATTAGCGCAAACCCTCAACAACCATTAGTACAAACTAAACTCTGTAGCCATAGCCGAAATCATTGATTCTATGTACATAGTTATTCTTTAGCTTTTCGGCCATGGAAAGAAACCAGCTTATCTACTTGGATAGGCTATTTTAGGCCAACAGTCCCGACTTTTGTTCCATCATCAAAAAAATTTCATGGAACACAAACGTTGAATGCGCTGCAATGTAAGACCAAAATATAACAAATACAAACTTGGAAAAGCCAAAAAATTTACAACTATTATTGATTTCTACGTCAAATACTACATATAATAATTAAAAAAACTCCCACAAGAAAATATATGCATAAAAATAAATTATTAAATGAGGATTTCTTGGGGATACCTGGGTATTGCTTACATTTTCCAGGGACGGTTGAGTAGTGCCGGAGCCATGTTCATCTCTGGCGGTGCAATTGTACCCCCTCAATCTTAAAATAATGTAGTATAGGTTATAAAATTTTGGATTTTTTAATATTGTAACTCTCTTGCCCCCCTGAATTTTGATAGTATTCCTTTTAATCCAACAATTGCCTCCCAAAAGTGTTAAAACCTTTTGCAGTTGCTCGTACCAATTCTAATGGAACATTGAAACAAAATATATTACACAATGGTGTTTTTTCTTTATAATGTTTTGCTTTATGCAACATTGAACTTTTTTAGATGTTCAATGATACGAATTACAAGCGAAATAAACATTTCCTTTACATTCCAGTTCTATACAAGTTGCCAACCCAGTTTATATAATAGATTTTTACATTTTGTAGTCTTTTGCACATTTTAAAGTTCTATGCAATTATAAAATTACATGACCTGATAACTTTTACTAATGGTTAATCACAAATAGCAAATACCTTTTTTTTTTTAAAACAATTTGTAATATTAAGTAAATTGATTGGTGTACTTATAGTAAATATTTAATTATAGTAAAAATTTCTAAACAAACATACTTTAGATTTAAGCTAATATTGATGTTACACCCTTGAACAAAGGTCCTGGCTTCATCGCTGCAATTAAGGGTGAGAATCATGGGCTTCAAGCAGCTAAGACATGCTGGCAAAGGCAAGTTGGAGAGATATGGAATTATGTTTGCTTAGATTGACAAGAGGCAACACTACTGTGTTCTCCACTTTGCCTTGACAAAGTGAGATGGGTGAAAAGAAAGAAAAGCCAGTGTCTTCTCCAACTTACCTTGCTACAGATTAATTGAGGATCGACTTGGTATGCAAATATTCAAAAAGTATTGCTAAATCTGTTAATACCGAGAAATGAAGGGTCACCAATGGCTTGTTAGATGGCTCCACTAAGTGATCAAATTTCATGACTTATACAGGGCGAGTGAGCTGCTCATCCCAAAATATTCTGTCAAATAGGAATTATCAATGCTTACCCATCTTGCTTCCTATGCATCAATAGAAACCAAGAATCATACATGGGTTTGCTTTTTTGAACTCTTATGATAGAAGAGATGTACATATATAGTTATATACATTTCCATCACCTTGAGAGAACACAGCTCACTATAAGAGACTTAGTTGCTGTATATAGATATTGGCAGAGGAAACTGCATTGGGTATAGAGGGGGAGGTCATATCTGAGAACTTGAACTTTTAACAGAATTCAAAAGAAAAAGGGAAGTCAACAGATCAGCCTCTTAGCTACGTAGTCTCCATGAACTCTATGCTAGCCAGGTGCCTAAGATTTGTCAATATTAAGGTATTAGGGAATACAGCCAAGTTCCTTACGATAACTCGGAAGAGGTTTTGCTTCCATATCATCCTGCAGCTCAAGATCTTTGACCTTGGTCTCTCCTTGTATTTTAGATGTCTGGTCTCATATAAGAATACATATCTGATAGAAGACTACCCTTATAGTAGGGTTGAATGATGGCATACAACTCATACCATCCTTTCTGTGCAAATAAATAGCATAGAAATTGCAATCATTTGACCTAAAATACTATTGAAATTGTACCATATAGAAAACAGAAGTTTCAACCATTCTAGCACGTCATCCAGAGTTTTAAACATTTCCTTACAGCATCACACGGTTTGAGAAATGTCATTGAACAATCAACATATACATATTACAAATACTTCTCTCCTCCCAAAAGATCAAAATCCTTGGACATACAATATAACCTGCGCTTTAAATTCGCCAACAAAACCAAGAGCCAATAGCCTGAAAAACATATTAAGATACAGAAGTCCAGAGTCAATCAATTCCAGAAATATATAACCAACACCTACATCATCTTAGGACACTAACAATAATTCCATCAAACACAAAACAAGGAAAAAAGGCAAAAAAAAAAAAAAAAAGATTGCATTGCATTACATAAGGTGGACTCTTTCTAAAAGTATTATAAGAACAGGCAGGAAAATTAAGAAATAGAACTAGGCAGTATAATTGTCTTACCATAACTTAAGTGGTTCCACTGTAAACCTTATATCTTTCTGTGATTTGCACTCTGCAAGAAGGGCAATATTCTCCTACAATCATACTGCAGCCGACGCATACAACTTGATGGGAACAAGGCAAGAACAGAACAGAAACTTCTTTTCTACAGCAGATAATACAATGCCTGTGATCAGGAATGAGCATTGCTTGAGTCAAGTTTTGTGAGCTTTCAGCCTTTGAAACACTTGAACCCAACAAGTGCTGTGTCTTGAGAATGGATGCTTCTAACATGAGCCTCTCCTTATCATCCATCACACGCCAACGCTCTACCTCTAATTTTTGCTCCAATGTTGACAACTTTCTATCTCTATCTTCTCTTGCAATTCTAGTTAGTTTCTTTTCTTCTGAAACTAGAATGCGGGCTTGCTCTTTTTCCTCTATTTCTTGCTTGAATTTCAGCTATTTAAAATGAAAAAAAAAAAGAACAAATAAGAGTATAATGAAGTACTTTGAGCATTAGTGGGTATGGCTAAGTTAAAATGCAATTAAAGGCATCACAAGTACTAATAATGTGCATGCACGTATCTGTTAAACTGTATTTCAAACATTTTTTTTTCTTTTTATTGTTTGAGTCTATATCATCAGTTGTGAAAACAAGAGGTCATAAAAGTGATTTGTACGATATGTTTAACAGCATACAAGAAAGGTTCCAAATCTGACAACTTTCTCTAATTTTGGCTTATGTAGGTTTGGAAACTTGCAATGATCCCAAAAAAGTTTATTAAAATGCATTTAGAGACAAAAAAAAAAACCCATTTCATTCTTTTTTAGAGTATCAATTTAGTTGTAATATAGTGTTGCTAAGAGCCACGATAGATCACTTTATTGATGTACCCCTATTACACAAAAGGCATTAAAGATTGTAAGCAAGGCCCCAATATGATCTATTCAAGGTAAGTACTCTAAGATCTTTTCCCACCAAAAACAAAATAAAATAATTAAAAAATGTACAAGATAATCTTATTGCCACATCGGGACATAGGACTAATTGTGGTACAAAAAGTGATGAGAAATTAGGATATTCTAATCTAGAAACTTCAGAAAAGAGAAAAAATTAAACTGTTTGCTACATGCTCTTTGAGGAAAAAAATCCAGAACCTCTTTTCTTTGAGGAAAAACCAAAGTTTTCAGCTCATTTAATACTCATTTATCACATACTAATACCATTAGAGCATAAAATGTCCCTTACATGCCAAAATGTATCGATTAACACGCGTGGTGCATTGCACAAACAAAATACAAGTTTTATGTGTCATTGACAATGTTTCTTTAGATCACCTTAATTGGATGTTACATGTCAATAACCATTCATAATGAGGTCAATTGAGTTCCGCATAGTTGCCAATATATTAAACCAAGAATAAGGAGAAATTTTCTTCACTAGCCTATTATGCAGTGCAATGAAGATTATTCAACTAAACAGAAAAAGATAAAAAATCTGATTGACACCTTGAAGCGATTGTATTTCACTATTTGATACTTTCAATAGGTGTGAGTTCACAATTGACGATTATGCAAATTTTATATCACTTCTATAATTATATTGATGATCTTGAGAACCTAAATCTCTATAAAGATTCATCAATATGCACATGCAGATAGTGCCCATTGATCAAATTCAAACCAAACAGGATGTATCATGGAAGTACAATGCAACATAAATCACAATCAAATTAAGTCAAAGATCATCAGTAAACACAATTACCTTGGCTTTTTCTTGGGCTTGAACAATATTTTTCAACTCCACTCCCAGCTGAAGAATCTTTTCTTTCTCTTGATTAATCAAACTATTTGTCTTGCTGATATGTTTTTCTGAGTTTTCGATCTTCTTAAGGTCTTCCTTTTCCTTTTTCATAGCCAGTTTCATATTCTTCTTTGATTCTGATTCATTCAACTCAATGCTGGTAAGCTCAGCTCGAAGTCTAAGATTTTCAGCCTGAACTTTTCCCAATTGTTCATATAGCCTGTCGATCTGATCCATTGTGGTTCTTTGAGCATTTTCTTTCTTTAATATCATTTTAGACATAGAAGTTGCGAGTTCCTCTTTCTCCTTAGCCAATTGCTCTCTCTTTTCTTTTTCTAAACTTAGCATAATTAACTCATGAGAGTGACTAACCAAACTTGCTCTCGATTCCCTTCTTTTATTCAGAGCCCAATTTTTTCTATCTTCCACTTGTTGCTCCAGACTTCGTATGAGTTCTTCCAAGCTGAAAATAATTTCATGTTTTTGCTCTTCGGAACAATTTCTTAGTCTTGTTTCATCACATAACCCCTGAAACCCTTCAAATGGATTAGAAATCTGATCAAACTCAAAATCTTCCAAGGAGATTTGACCTTGTTCTTGTGGACTGGCAGTAGAAGTAGCATTCTTTTCTGATTGACTTGCCAACTCTGGGGTATAAGTAAGACCAGTCAATCTCTTCAATGCAAGAGCATTTTCTTTCAAAAATGCATCAAAATCAAATTGATTAGCTCCTGAAACTTCACTAGAAGAAGAAGCTTCAACTCTATCAGGAGCAAGAGATTGATTAGTTTTCTCAATAGCAAGCAACTTGCTTGACAAAATCTGCTGCATAGCACTAGACTTCGACAAACCAGGGCGCTGTCTTTCCACTAAGTTAACCAAATCTTGTACCCAAAACTCGATCAATTCGGCCAATGTTTTAAAAATGGGTTCTTGTTCTTCATTAAAAATGACTTTACCATTTTCTTGGCGAGAACTATTGATTAAAGTCAATGTACTTTTCATGATACTTCTTCGGATGTCCGGTTCACCAAATATATACCCTGCTCTCAAAAGTGCCCCTTCAATGGTTTGAGTATCATATCCCATTTTTGACATAATTAGGCATGCTTCTTCATATGCGCTTTCAATTTTAAGGTACAGTAATTTTTCTACCTGCTTGTCTTCAGTGTGCTTAGCATCACATTTGTCCCCTTCTTTCTCATGTCCCAATTCAGATTTGATAACTGAGATATCTATTTGCTTGTTGTTTTCTTTGGATTTATGAGGATTCGATTTCTCCTTTTTCTTCTTGTGCTTTCCTTTCCTAGAGCCAGCCATCAATGCAGATTAAGCTGCAAGAAGAAAAATGAAAGGGCCACAACATTCATTAGTTCCAATAATATGTATGATGTTATCGAAGAATAAGGAAAAAGCTAAAAGAGAAAGAATTATGCATTAAAATTAACATGACAATAATGTTACCGCATATTAGAAATCAGGTCTGACATTATCTTAAGTTCACAAGACAATACCAAATAATAAAAAACGATTTCCTTCTTATTCTTCACAACCTTCTGTTATCTAATTTTAAGTAAGTGCACTTATTAAGTCTGCATATAGAGAATCAATATATGTTATTATAACTCTTTCAAGGAACAAAAATATTCAAAGTAATAATAATAATACAACTTTGATAACCCTTTAAGGAAAAAGAATCAAAAACTATTTTACTTTTGATTTTGGTTCATTTCCTTTTTTTTTCATTGGGTTGCTTTTAATTAGAATTTCCAAAAAAAATTTGGAACAAGAAAGAATCTAACTAGTCAATGAGTCTAAATGCAATATACAAAAATGACAATGAGATTCAAGTGAAACGCAAAGAAGATGATCACCTCGTGATTCACGTTAAAATGTGGAAGAAAACTGAACAGTTGTCGGTTGTCACAAAAGAAAAATGGAGATATTTGTAAAAAAAATTAATGTCTAGAGATTGGGCGAGAAAGAGAGACTTAAGTCAATTTGAGTTAACAAATCAAAGCAATGGCTTTTTGGAAATTGAGAAGAGTGAGTGAAAGAGAGAGTGATGAGCAAGATTGAAATTTCTTCTTGGAAATGGAGAAGAGTAGGTGATGAGTAAGATTGAAATGTCTCTTTCGAAATTGAGAAGAGTGAGTGAAAGAGAGTAATGTGTAGGATTCAAATGTCTTTTTGGAAATTAAGAAGAGTGAGTGAAAGAGAAAGTGATGAGTCAATTTGAACAGAATAAGTGAAGGAGGGTAGGATAATTGTTAGATACCAATATCCAAATAATCCTTGGTCATTATTTGGCCTACAATACAAAGTTTAACAATATAAGACACTTAATTTTGACTGATGAGTGTGAACGATAATTGAATGCAAAATTTTTCTTATGAACATTCACATGTTAATTGTGATTAATTACAAGATTTTCTCATTTGACTTGAATTTTGCAAAGCTAATTATGGCAAGTGATTATAGAGAATAATCAAAACCAACTAAAGCTACATTTATTGATTTGAGGGATTTTGCTATTTAGGTTATTAAAATATTTGAAATGAAAGTGTACAAATAATCAAAAACATAAAAAACTGATAACTCAAAATCAAAATCTGTAATTTGGTGAAATAATAAACAGGTATAAGTCCTAAAGTATATTACATCATTCAAGAACAATTTCATTGATAACTATTCAGGAGAGAGGTTGAATAAGAAAGTGAGAGAATAGGTATCAACCAAGAAATTAAGTAAAAGAATTTTTTTCGGGCATTAAAAGAAGTGTTGGAGGATGAGAATTAGTATTATGTCACAGAAGAAAAGGAATTTTATATATAAATTCAAGTCAAAAATCTTAGTATTAAAGATAATGATGAACTATTATTTGGACTTCATATTTAATACCCCTTTCCCAACTACAAATATCTATAAAGCCCTGAAACATAAAACCGCTTAAGAGAATTCTTGTCAGACAAAATATAATCTCACACAATTAAGAGTGAGAAGGGTTGAGTGAGAAAGTGAGAGAATAAGTATCAAACAAGAAATGAAGTAAAAGAATTTTTTTGGGAATCAAAAGAAGTGATGGAGGATGAGAATTAGTTTTAGGCCGCAGGAGAAAAAGAATTTTTTATATATAATTGCAAGTCAAAAATCTTATTATTAACGATAAGGATGAACTATTATTTGGCCTTCATATTTAATACCCTTTTCTCACCTTTGAGATATTTATTAAGCCCTGAAACGTAAAATCGCTTAAGAAAATTCTTGTCAGACAAAATATAATCTCATAAAAAAATCCCTTATGCAAAATTATTTTCATACAAAAAATTAATCCTATAAAAAAAATCCCTTATTCTTGTGATCACAAAATTTGACCATAGTCCTTTGCACAATAATTTAGGGAAAATATGTCTAATAGTCCTACAACTTTTATCAATGATTTTATTTGGTGCCTCGATTTTAAAAAGTATATTAGATTTCTCAAGCAATAAATTTGGCTATAAATGGTTTGTCCAAGCCAAATCTAAGCATTATAATTGTCACTTTGCCGCTCTTGAGCTCTAAGTTATAAATGTCTCTTTTCCTTCTCTAAGTTTAAAATAAAGTATATTAGCCCTTGTTAAATATTAATAATTGACTAGTTTGACTGACAAAAGATTGTAACATGTCCTTCATACGATTTACATAAAGTAGACAAAAAAAGAATGAAACACTCCTCTTTGATAAATAACAAACTTAATATTACTTTTAGCATACAGAACTTTGCTGACTCTTATTTATGGCTATCATTCATCATCATTATTAGTACTTGATTTAAGGTCTTGTAAACCTGAAATAATATACATAAAAATAAGCATTAATCCAATAGGAATAAAAAATATATTTCCAAAAATAAATGAAAGATAACTTATTTGCTTTAATAATTTATTATTTATTTTTAGTCAACACCATTGAGAATATGATAAATTTTGACAATATGAGAAAAAGATAAACATAAATAGGTACTCCCACTTATTTCTTCTATATTTGGATTTTTTTTAGGTTGCATAAATGCTACATTGTTTAATCTTTTTCCAGTAAGTTTTGTCGTCAAAATATAAATAATTTGGTTAATCAGATAATAAAACAATAGTATTCATAACAATATGTTGGAAACCAATATGCCGACAACAACTCAATAGTCATCCAAACAACTAAAGCAGAACCTTTCTTTTACTACTTTGTGAAGTTGGGGAAGAGCCACTATAACACCAAAGGTATTGTCAAAGAAGGTGCCATACAATTTTTTTTTCTTTTTAGCTGCCATACAAAATTACCAATGAAGGCATCTAGTACAAACAACTTAAAGAGATAGCTTGGTCAGACTCAAAATTAATTGGCCTATTACAAATGTGTATTACCAAAAGAGCATAATGAACCCACAGGATACATAGAATTAGGCCATAGGAAAATTTAAGCTCCATGCAGGATCTGAAGGATAGCTTCAGGAAAAGGGTTTAGTTTCTTACACTTTCTGAACCTAAGATATTGCATGATAGCTTAAGGCAGCATGAAACAAACTTGAAGCAGATATGCACAATTTTGCTGATGATCAGCTTCTGCAAGAAGAAGACAAATACCACCGTTCTTGCGGCTGCATGGATGTCCAATTATACATAAAGTAGAGATGGGTTCTCTGGCGGGCCCTTGGTGTACAGACGTTACACTTTTTTTCTTTTAATAAGAAAATTCTAGTAAATTTACAACGCATTTTTATGGAAAGAAGAATCATGCCAAATGTTCAAAGACAAGATTAGTTCATAACCAATAATATCAAACTTCAACGGTAATAAAAGTAAAATAAGTGATTACAAAGTTTCATTAATAAAATTCAACAAAATTTGATTTGTATTTCATGCAAAAGTGTTAATTGCCAGCAGTGATACATATCTCCCTTGCATGGATAATGCATATTCTAAACTTGAATTCTTCTTCTTTTCCTTTTTCTTTTTTTTTTAGGTAGAAAATATTGAATTCAAAATCTTTTACTTAAAGTTTTTCTTTCTGTAGCGATGCATTCTTTTGCGCTCTTCTATTTTTATATATTTCTCTCTCTAAAGTGAGAGCATCTCTCTCTAAAATTGAGAGCTTCCCTCCTCAGTGTATGAGCTAACACTTTCGAACACCTTTTTACACCTTTTTCCACTGTCCGTACCAATGCCCGCCTAGTTTTTCAAAACTTTTCAAACCTCAAGAACACTGAGAGCGAAAATCAGCTGGTCTGAAAGTGGAATTTTCCAAAGGAGTCAGACAGAGGAAGCGTGAGGAGTCCAGCAAGTCTGGAAGAAGATCCAGCTCTCTTATGGCCAATAGCAAAAACCATCTTCATCTCCTTCCACTCTTTTTTTTTCACTTCATTGTCTTTATCACTTCGTTTTCTGCTTTGTATCCACCTAACAAGGGTAGCAGTAGGTGTCTGTGGTATGCATCCATACTTTGAATATCCAGAACTCTATTTGAGAAAAAAGGTCTAGTCTTTTAGTTTTTTTAACTTGTGCTTTGAGTTTGCCGTGTTTTTTTATCTCTTGTAAACACAGGTGAAAAGGTTGTTTGTTCATCCTGAGCTAGTACTAGGAACACTGTAGGGTCTGGGGGAAGATGGAGGACGAGCTAGCAATGGCGTTGCGAAGGTTTGAGTTATCAGATAAGGAAGTGGGTGGGATAGATCTAAGTCATGATGATGTAGAACAGAGCGTCCAAGATTGCAGAGGAACTTTGGTAGGCCGCATTATGGGAGAAAAGATAGCAAACTTCACTTGGGTAAAACAGTTCACTAACCATGTCTGGGGTTATCCCAGGAATTTGCGAGTCACTGAGATTGGCCCAAATGTGTTTCAATTTCAGTTTGAAAGAGAGGAAGATAAGGAAAAAGTAATGGCAGGAGCTCCGTGGATCTTAGATAATCAGGTGCTAGTTATAAGGGAGTGGTGTGTAGGATTTGAAAAAAAAGTTGAGTGCTTTAGATTTGTAAGTTTCTGGATCCAAATTTGGAATCTTCCAGTACACTGGATGAGCAAGGAGGCAAGTAAGAAAATTGGGGGGATGTTTAGGAATGTGAGGGAGGTCATTTTACCACCCGGGGATGGAAAGAAAGAGAGGCATATGAAAATATTTGCAGAAGTAGATTTGCACCAGCCATTGGTCAGAGGAACAGCAGTGAGACTACATGGAAAGATGGAATGGATTGAATTTCAGTACGAACGCTGCCCAGATTTTTGTTATAAGTGCGGTATCATAGGACATGGAGATAAAAATTGTAGAATGGAAATAAGGGACAACCAATCTTGTAGGGAAGCACAGTTTGGACTATGGATGAGAGCAGGGAATATAATGGCATCTCCACTTAGGGGCGAATCTGGGAAACACATGCATTATAAGAGACAATCAAAAGTACTGAATGAAGTTGGCTAAGGAGGGAAGGAGGATGGAATAGGTGAGAGAGCAGGTCAACAGTAGGAGATGAGACAGAAAGCAGAGGAAGGGGGCAAGGTGGGGAGGGAAATACAGGAATAGGTAGGCAAGAGGGAGAGTGGGAAAATGCTTTAGTTATTAGTGATAAGGGAAAGAAAACAAGGGAGACAAGGACGGAAGAGGAAAGGAGGGGAGCTCAGGTCACTGGAAAGGAAACTCAAGCGCAAGAGGAAGAGAAAATGACAAGGGAAGTGGAAGGCCACATGGATTTCGAAATGCAGGGAGGCGAAGTGGGTGATGAAATAAAGGAATAGCCAGATAATAAGGAGAATGTATAGGAGGTAGGCGTAGGGGAATGCCAGGAACTAATGATTCTTCTAGTTTCGGTGAAGGTGGAAGACAAACGAAAGATGCAAAAAGGGTTCCATAGGCTTAAAAGAACACCACTGGGAGAGATAAAAAAGAATAATCATGTGGGAGAACAGGGGAGAAAAAGAAAAAAAAACCTACGGTTAATGAGGAGGGAGAGATAATGGAGGAGGATGGAGGGGAAGAAGGAGATCAGGAACAAGGAAGAAGGATGAGCCAGAAGAAGACCAAACTGAGGGAACTGAAGGCAATCCCGTTAAAGCCTCCACATTGTAAATGAAAGTTTTGGTGTGAAATTGTCGAGGTGTGGGAGGACCCTTGACAATTCCCCAACTAAAGGAGGTGATAAATCTCCACTTTCCAAGTGTTGTCTTTTTGGCTGAAACAAAGAATCATAAAACAGTCATAGAAAAGATCCAAAAACAAATAAAGTTCGACAATTGCTGTGTGGTTAACTCTAATGGTAAAGCAGGGGGACTTGCAATGATGTGGAAGGAAGATATTGAAGTGATAGGTATCGACTAGGGGACCTTTTTCACAGGAATGAAAATGAAAGAAAGTGAGTTTAGTTGTGAATGGTGGCTGGTGGAAATTTATGCGAGCACAGATGAAAACATAAGAAAGGAGCAGTGGAGAACGATAGAGCAAAAAAAGAGGGAGTGGGGGGAACATTGGGTATTGGTAGGGGATTTTAATGATTTAAGATCTGGGGAGGAAAAATAGGGAGGGAGGAGAAGACATGAGAGTAGCCTTAAGGAGTTTAATAGGTTTATAAAGGAAAATGAACTGGTTGATTTAGACTTTGAGGGGAAACCATGGACATGGTGCAATCAGTGGGAAGGTGAGGGAGAAGTAAAAGAAAGATTGGATAGGTGTTTGGCTAGTGTCAAATGGTACCAAACATTTGATAGAGCTTGCTGCAATCATATAGAAAATGAAGCATCAGACCATAGTATGCTGATTATGGACCTAAACCCCAACCAGAAGAAGGTAAAAAGAAGATTCTATTTTGATCAGCGTTGGGCCAGGAATGAAGAAACCAAAGGAGTGATTGAAAGAGCCTGGGGGTCAGAACATAAAGGATCAAGGATGTTTAAGATAACAAAAAAGATTAAGGAATGCAGAATGGCTTTACTAACATGGAAAAGGAAAAACAACATGAATTCAGGGAAAAGGATTCAGGCAATAAAGGAGAGGATTCAGGAGTTAAAGGACAGCAATACCGTGGGAAAAAGGACCAGTTGGTGGAATTGAAGTTGCAATTAAGTAAGGCATATCAAGAGGAGGAATTATACTGGAGCCAAAAGGCAAGGACAAGATGGTTGCAGGAAGGAGACAAAAACACAGTTTTCTTCCATACGAGTGCTATGAATGCAAGGAAACAAAGGCAAATCACATATTTGCAAAAGGAAAATGGACAATGGTGCACAAACGAGCAGGAAGTAATGGAGGAAATTTGTGGATACTATAAACAACTGCTAACCTCTGGAGAAGCTGACCAGATAGAGGAAACACTACGGGGAGTTCCCAATACTATATCACGATAGATGAATGAACACCTGATCCGACCTGTGGGTGAACAAGAAATTCACAAAGATTTGTTTTCCATGCATCCAAACAAATCACCTGGGATAGATGGTATGTCTCCTCTCTTTTTCCAAAAATACTAGAATATTGTTAGACTAGATGTGGTGAATGCTGTCACTAGTTTCTTTCACTTTGGTAACATGCTTAAGGTGGTTAATGAAACTTTGATTACTTTGATCCCTAAGGTGGAACATCCCATCAATTTGAATCAGTACAGACCTATAAGCTTGTGCAACACCTTGTATAAAATCATTTCAAAAGTGCTTGCTAATAGACTCAAAGTTGTCCTGAATAAATGCATTAGTGAGTCTCAGTCTGCTTTTGTGCCAGGAAGACAAATAGTGGATAATGTTCTCATTGCTCATGAAGTGATGCATTTCTTGAAAAATAAAAGAAAAGGAAAGACAGGTTTCATGGCCATTAAACTTGATATGTCGAAAGCATATGATAGGGTGGAATGAAAATTCATAGGAAGAATAATGATGCATATGGGTTTCTGCCCTATCTTTGTTAGGTGGATCATGGCTTGCATTTCTTCCGTGTCTTATTCCTTCAATCTTAATGGTACTAAGGTGGGATATATTAATTCTAGTAGAGGTTTGAGACAAGGAGATCCCCTCTCCTCTTACCTCTTCTTAATCTACACAGAAAGTCTATCCCATTTGATACACACAAAAGTTGAAAATAATCTGGTCACAAGAGTCTAAGTGAGCAAGAATAGTCCATAGATATCTCATCTATTTTTTGCAGAAGATTCACTGATTTGCTACAAGGCAACATTACAGGAGGCAAAGCAAGTGAAAGAAATGCTGCAAATATATGCAATATCTTCAGGACAGCTAGTGAACTTTGAGAAGTCTGCTGTGTACTTTAGCAGGAACATCCCAAAGACAAGAAGAGCAGAAATCTATCAAGAGTTGGAGAGCTTAAAGGAGGCAACAAATGGAAGATATCTGGGGCTACCAATGGCAATAGGAAGGACAAAGAACCAAGTGTTTGGTTACATTAAAAGTGCAGTCATCAAGAGGCTGAAAGGTTGGACAAACAAAATGTTGAGTATGGCAGGAAAAGAGGTACTTATAAAGTCGGTAATACTTGCAATGCCAAACTATGTAATGGCCTGCTTCAAACTTCCAAAAGGACTGTGTGATGAAATTTGCAAGAGTATTGCCAACTTTTGGTAGGGAGATAATGAGAAGGAGAAGAAGCTCCACTGGATTAACTGGACGAAACTTGCTGAAGTGAAATGAAATGGGGGGTTGGGATTCAGGGACTTGGAAGCTTTTAACAAAGCCTTGCTAAGCAACTCTGGAGAATCCTTAGCTCTCTAGATTTGCTTATGAGCAAAGTACTAAGAGGCAAGTATCTAACAGATATTCAGTTCCTGGATAAGCATCCTCCAACCTCAGCTTCTTGGTCATGGAAAAGCATACATAGTGCGTGGAGTTTGTTAGAGGATGGGCTGTGGAAGAGAATAGGGGATGGAACACAGGTGTGTATTTGGAAGGACAAGTGGGTGATGGGGTCCGAGACAGGAAGGCCTGCAACAATTTGCCCCACAAATTGCCAACTACAAATAGTCAGCCAACTAATATGCGAAGGCAGATGGAATACAGAAATATTGTAGACTGTCTTCAATCAAGCAGATAGGGAGCGAATAACAAGCATGTCTCTTAGCATGTTCAAACATCCGAATAGGTTTTATTGGAAGTTTGCAAAATCTGGAACTTATACAGTCAAGTCAGGCAACGTAAAGGCAGTGCAGGCTAGCAATAAAATTAAAAGAAGACTGAAACTAGAAGGAGAGATGAGCTGGGAGATAAGGAAGCATACTGTCTGGAAACAACTCTGGAATTTAAACCTTAAGCACAAGATCAAACACTTTATCTGGAAGTACTTACAGAATGGAGTTGCGGTGAAAAAAGCTATCTACAAAAGGACTGGAAGAGGGGATATGATATGTCCCGTATGTGGGGATGGAGTAGAAACAGCTGAACATATGCTCTTCACATGTCCAAGAGCCCAATTCGTGAGAAAATTAGAAACAGTCAGATAGGAGGGGCTGAGAGAATTATAGGGCAATCTGTGGAGATGGTGGGAGGCAATGGCTCAGACAGGATCAAAGGATTATGGGATAGAGCACATAAGTCTAACAGCAAATATCATATAGAACATATGGAAAGCAAGAAATAAGGTGGCTTTTGAACAAAAAAGGAACGATGCACAGGAGACAATCCTGAGAGCACAACAAGAATGGCAGGAGTATGAGGAGATGGGGCAGCAGGAGGAGGCGAACAAAAAGAATGTAAGAGCTATGAGCCAAGGGGAACAAGGAAAGCGAGTTGTGGTAGAAGGGCTTATTAGAATTGGTACAGATGCAGCAATTAGTGCTAGGATGATATGAACAGGAAAGGGAATTGTGGCAAGACACTGGACAGGCGAGCTTATTAGAGCAAGGGGAGTTGTAAAGCAGAAGAAGGGTGAAGCTCTAATGGAAGAAACACTAACTATTAGATTAGCTCTCCAAATGGCACGTGAAGTAGGCTAGAGAAAGATAGCCATCTTCTCAGACTGTAAAATGGCTACAGACTATATTAATGGCAACAATGTACAAGATGGCAATCTAGCAAACATCTTGGAAGACATTGTGGATCTGATTTATGTTTTTGACTACTGCACTATAACTTGGGTGCCTCGATCCTTTAATACAGCAAGTCATAAGCTAGCATGTTTTGCTTCAAAGCTAGTTAATGATGTATTTTGGGTAGATCAATTCCCAAACTGGTTAAAAGAGGCCAATAGATTAGATGAAAGGGCTTATGCTCATTTTGTAAGTAATTCTTGTATGATCAAGTGTTAATATCTATAAAGTTGTTATCCTTTGTGGAAAAAAAGGAAAAAAAAAACTTAAAGTTTTTCTCATCTTATGATCCAATCTAACTCTCCCCTCAAAACTTCAGTTCATTGATAGCCAAAAAAACGTCTCTCTCTCTGTCTCTCTCTCTCTCTCTCTCTCTCTCTCTCGACACACACACACACACACA